TTACGTGACATTGTTTACAAGCCGTTATATTGACGTGTTTGCGCGGCTGAAACACTGATTGAGAGATTACATGAGACAGGATACGGATTGTAAATTTGTACTCTTTCTTTTAACTTACCTTCGGATGTTTAGTCATGTTTATTTTGTGCTGAAGCTGGTATTAATGTGGAGGAGATGATCAGTTCATGTCTGTTGATCTGAGGCGCTACAGCGATCTATCACTTCACATTAAACAACGCTAAAAAATGGCATTTATTGTTTGAATACTGCAATACAATGGATGGACAGAATTTGAAATCTGTGACTTTGTTTCATATTAAAAGTACCAAAGCACAATGCTTATTGCGATATATTGGATGGGAGGTGCCCCCACGCCTTCTTTCTTTGCGTGCACATTTGGGCGGTGTTATGCAAATCTTCCCACATAGTGATGTAGATGTGTGGGGGTGTGTTAGAACGAGCCGTTTTAGGTAGGCGTGGTTGACTCTTAACTTTTATAAAGAATATCTCTTTGGATTTGAGACTTTAGTCTTTGCAACTTTACAGATCTTCTTTATGTACCAAGAGCTTGTAACACTCCAAAGAGAAAGGAAAAATTGAAATCGCATCATATGACCCCTTTAAATCAATGCATCCGTAATTTATTGGCCTCTGTGCCAAAATATCCTACTCATTTAATCCACAGACTGCTCGTCTCTATAAATAAAGTGTATTATGATTAATGAATGACTATTATTACACTAGAATGAGAGTCTGAGCGTCACTCACGCTGCATTCGGTGATGTAGGTGGCGAGGTCCTGCTCCAAGATGCTTCTCTGGGTCTCGGAGGCTTTGAGCTCCACATCCTTCTGCTGGAGGACTGACTCCAGGTCAGTCATCTTACGCTGAAACCGCGAGATCTCCTGCTCCATCTGAGCGGCCACAAACACAAGCACCAGGTCTAAATGCATTTTACAGCAGCGCTCGGACAGCGCCAACACAACCACAACCACGAGCTCACACACTAATGGCTAGACTAATCGATTCTTGGGATTTAAGAATCGATATCGTTCCGTAAAAATTACAATCGATTAATATCGAGTTATCGATACTTTTTACCCAGCCCTAGTTGACAATATCGATTTATCAGTTTAATAAACGATATTGATTCTTAAATCTTTTAGCCATTCAACAATCACAAAAACAGCTTTGTTACTTTTGATATGAAGAAGTCTGAGCTTTAAAATGGTAATTTTTGTCACAAAATTCAAACGATAAATGCACCAAATAAACCTGAATGAACATCAGAAGGTGTTGAAAGAAGCAAAACAACTTACTAAAATAAAACATTTCTCATGTAATCGATCAATCAGCGTTTCGGCCGTCAAAAGATGTCAGTAAAACAGCGCGTGTACAAAGTGTTATGTATAAAGTCACATATACCTCAGTATATATATATACTGTATACTGTAAATAAATCTTGAGGAGCATTTTGATAAATATTTGCACTATATTACATATTCATGATTTTTTTTTTACTTAACCTGTTGTTTAATATTTAATGTACGCTTAAAAACTATAGCCACTGTTTATTTCAACAATGAATTGTAGTACAAAATCATTATTCCATTAAAAAAGTATTATTCTAAATGTATTATTGTAAAAACCACCTTACGTGCAATGTAAATGTTTGTATACAAATCAGTTATTAATTGTAACCTTTAATATTACAGCAATGAACTAAATGACAGGTTTCTATGGAAGCTTATTTCCATCATGGGATTTAAAAAAAAAATTTTAAGCGGTAATTCTGATTTTTTAATCTCATAATTCTGACTTTTTTCTTGGAATTCTGAGTTTATCTCTCATAATTCAGACTTTTGTCCTGGTGATATTTTGCAAAACACACAATTCTGACTTTTCTGCTCAGAATTGCAAGATAAAAGCACAGAAATGTGCGATATAAATGCAGAATTGCGAGACAAACTCACAATTCTGAGAAGTCGGAGTTTTGAGAAACAAATGCAATTCTGAGTTTTGTGAGAAATTGCAAGGAAACATGTCTAAATTGTGAGACAAAAAAATACTTTTAAAATTTTTTATTCCATGGCAGAAACAGTCTTCCATAGGGTTCCCTGTATAGTTTGCATGTATTGTAAATGTATAATGTACCTGATGAATATCCAAATGAATCAATAACAAATCGAATCAAGATTGGAATGGAATCGGAATGCACGTTTGTGAACTGAAATCGAATCGAAGTGTGAAATCGGTCAATACCCAGCACTACAATTTGTAAACAAGTCATTTTGAAACTCTATTGTAATGTTGATCCTGGTGCAATACATCGCCATTCATTGCACATGCAATACGATGCTTGTTTGTTAATGCTTGCATTAAATAGCCCAGTTTATTACCTCAGTGTTCATTCAGACTGTTTCTGTGCTCTGACCTTGTGACATTTGTCTTGAGTGTCTTGCAGTTCTTTGCTTTTGAGGTGCAGCTTTTTTTCCATGGAGTTGGTCTTGGCAGGAGAGTTGAGCCCTGTGCCAACCGATCTGACAACACAAGGAAAAACACGCCGAATCAGAACTATAATACACATGCATATGTACAGTTATAAATCTCCATGATAAAGCCAGGAGGAGTGTGTGAGAGGTTGTGTTTTTCCTGGGAATGTAGGGAATATCACACACGCATGTCTGCTCAGCCTTTCACATTCATTACACACTCCATTAGTTTCATGTGAATTCATTCATTCAAAACCAAAGGACATCATCTTTATGTGGCGTCCATTAATTAACATGACATGAATGAGCCATGATAAAGCCAGGAGGAGTGTGTGAGAGGTTGTGTTTTTCCTGGGAATGTAGGGAATATCACACACGCATGTCTGCTCAGCCTTTCACATTCATTACACACTCCATTAGTTTCATGTGAATTAATTCATTCATTCAAAACCAAAGGACATCATCTTTATGTGGCGTCCATTAATTAACATGACATGAATGAGACGTCAGGGAACACTAACCGCAAGTGTCACAAAACCATAAACATCCACAACGAAATGAAAACGAAGTTATATTTGTCTCAGATTAGACTGACGGAGATTTGTCATAAAACGCATGCAGTTCAGCATTTGAGTTCATTAGCATGGACAGAGGGTCCACATCTTATCAAGACAATCATTCACTTTACAGTCTCTCATTTCATAATACAACGCTTCTGTCTTGCTCAGAGATCTGAACTCTGAGATCTCTGCCTCCGCCATTAGACATCGGATCATTACAGCTAAAAATGCTGAGGAGGGAAACACACACACACACACACACACACGCGCTGCTAAAGTGCTGATTATACCAGAACTCCAAACCAGGCCGTAGGGTAATAACACAATAACACTTCCATCCACGTGTGAGTTTGTTTGAGTTCTGCACGTTTTGAAATCAAATTACTGCGGTGTCCAAACTGGACCATAATCACTCATTTTAACAGCATAATTAACCTGTGCTCTTTCATCAGTGTGTCATGTAAAACAGGAAGTTGACCTCTCTTTAGGGAGTGAATAATGTGCCGAAATTAAACAAACAAATCCAGTATTTTGCAAACAAACTTGATCTGCTTTGCAAAAGAAAACTCAACTCGCAAACAAACAGAAAGCGATTGCAAATACAAAGGTCAGAGTGAGCGAAATCGCAGAGGTGTAACAAATAAACGTATTGTGCTTTACGAATATAAATACTTGAGTGTACATCATAATTCACAAATGCAATCAATCCTACGAATTGCATGTAACCTTTGAACAAATACCAAATTTAGTGCATGCAAATGCTGGTCTGTTTTGATTGTGAGACACTCGCCCTTTTAATGCGATCTCTTGGCTTGATTTTCTCTCAAATGCAGTTGAGCAACTTCCTCTTCCAAAGCAGCAGATGGCGCTATGTGTGATTTTACGGCAGTCTCCCGGAAGAAGCGCTTACTGTATCTATAATTAACCTTTCTGAGGTTTTCACAATGCCAAACCTACTTCAATATAAAAAAAATGTAAATAAAATACAATAATTTAAAGATATTAATGTGACCGATCAGTGCAAAATCAAGCGCTGAAACACGTTTATGAAAATGAGCGGTGAACAGGTGAGTTAATGTTTATAATAACCCTTTTTCAAAATGTTGATTACACGTATTGGTAGCAAGCATATCTGCACTTATTAGCACTCCAATATCTCTAGGCTATATAGCTATAGCAAACCACAACCGTGTTTTAATTAATTATAAAAAATGATTAATTATCAAAATCTAGTATAATTAGTGATTATGTGCACTGAAGTATTCTATGTCCGTTTCTGTCATTGTCCATAACAACTTAAGAACGTTTCATTTAATTAAAATAAGCGTTTCATTTTTTTTTAAGTAGGTTTGGCATTGTGAAAACCTCAGAAAGGTTAATTATAGATACAGTAAGCACTTCTCCCGGGAGACTGCCGTAAAATCAAACATAGCGCCATCTGCTGCTTTGGAAGAGGAAGTTGCTCAACTGCATTTGAGAGAAAATCAAGCCAAGAGATCGCATTAAAAGGGCGAGTGTCTCACAATCAAAACAGACCAGCATTTGCATGCACTAAATTTGGTATTTGTTCAAAGGTTACATGCAATTCGTAGGATTGATTGTATTTGTGAAATATGATATACGCTCATGTATTTATATTCGTAAAGCACAATACGTTTATTTGTTACACCTCTGCGATTTCGCTCACTCTGACCTTTGATCGCTTTCTGTTTGTTTGCGAGTCGAGTTTTCCTTTGCAAAGCAGATCAAGTTTGTTTGCAAAATACTGGATTTGTTTGTTTAATTTCGGCACATTATTCACTCCATATCTCTGCTCTTTAGATCCTGATGATATAATTCAAGCATCTACAGGGCCGTTCGCGCAGCACATGTTCCTGAATCCTGTCAGCAAAAATCAGCGCTGTGCACCAGAACCAACACGCGGCAGAAAAGCCCATTAACTGATACCTAGTTTCATGAGTAAATACATTGTGCTGCACTAAACTGTCAGTATAAATGACATACACACAGGTGTGCGCGATTCAGATTTTAATTAGAATTGAGGTTTCAAAAAGGATGCAGAACTGTAATTTAAATTTCAATTCATTGTAAATCTATTCACATTCAAATTCAAAGAAATTGGTAACTTTACAATAAGGTTCCACATGAACTAGCAATGAACAATACCTCAACAGCATTTTAATCTTAATATTAATTTCAACATTTACTAATATTTTTTATTTTAAACATTTGTAAACATTTTTAACATTTATAAAAAATGTTTAAAAATAACATTTTTTAAATCAAAAGTTGTATCTGTTAACATTAATGCATGAACAATGGACAATTGTATTATTAACTAACATTGACTAAGGTTAATAAAAGTAGTAAAAATATAAAGCTCATATTCAAAATTCATGGATTGGAAGCTAAATTAATTTTGCACTCTGATAAACCCTAAAATAAATAAATAAATGACAAAAACAAAATCATAGCTGTTAATTTAAAAAAAATGTCCAAATATAAGTCACTATTCAATGTTCGATTGACTCAAGAATTGCTGCATTCAGATCAAGTTAGTGAGTTGAACAACTAGATTAGTGAACATTTATGATGAATCAGTTGATTGGGTTTACAAATTATTATTTTATGATTTAAATTTCTATCACATAAAACTATCATATAATATAACTTCAGAACACTTTTACGTGAACTACTACGTTGACAATTTAAGTCCTTAAAAAGAACAAAAATATATGCAAACCCAAGACTGAAATTAAAAAGACTGTGGAGACAAATTAAAGTAAAACTATAATGACTGTTTCCACACAGGTTTCCCAAATACTCCTCCCACCCCTTTGACTCCGCCCTATGTCTGCCATTGGTCAGTCAAACTGATAGACTCCTCCCACACTCACTCCACCAAGTCAGAAGCTGCTGATCAATTTTTGGAAAGCAGCACAGATGCTCTTCAGGAAGCCAAAGTACCATTGGATTTCAGATTTCTCACAGAGGAAACCAAGACACAAAAAAACCGCCTAAATATAGAGAACCGACCGCCTACGACAGTATAAAAAGACATGTGAACCTCAGAACAAACCAACAAAGACAGGAAACAACTTGAGCTCCCACATGCATCATATGTCAGTGATTCAGAACTGACGAAATGTTGTCTGACGGATAAACATGTTCCAAAAATAAAGAGTGAAATCCCAGCCGCGCACAATCACAACAGACATTTCTAACGGAGACAGAGAGAGAATAAAGCAGCGGAGGGAAGATGAACCAATCACAGCAGCTCCTGAATATTTGCTCTGACCGTCGTTCTGACAGCTCGTCCGCCGAGAGTCCTGAAGACCTTTAGCTCCAGCTTAAATCCCATTACAAACAGTCAACTTTATCAATGCGCACAAACTCTTCAGTTTGTTCAGTGTTTCCTGCTAAAGGAGACGTCTGAAGATTGAGAGAAGAGCATTTTGGCCACGCTTTTCTAATTCTTTGAAGGGCTAATATGGTGTCCCTCACAATGTTTCAAAGTCCATTTCTTGAGCTTCCTCTAGATAAATTATCATCGAAGAACTTCAGAGAATAAAGAAAGACGGGCATTTACAGATGCTGTCCACTCCAACTACATCTGATGAACAGATAAACTACAGCAAAGGACTGAATAGTGTAATAATTTTGGCCAATATTGTCACAACATACCACAAACACTGTCACAATTATTTTAACATGATCACTTATTAACTTTGGAAACATCACACATTTATTGAACTTTCATTTAAAAAAAAACAAAAAAACAAACAAACAATGGATTTCCTTTCCTTTTTTATTTATATAGCAATTTTTACTAGTGGTCGACCGATATATCGGCCGATATTTGGCATTTTTCATATATCGGCCGATAAGTTTTTCTGTTTGGCCGATGTGTTCGTTTTTATTTTGATGACGCGGCAGACTTTTATTTTGACGGCGCTGAGAACGGCAGCGCCTGAGCACACAATCTCCCTCTTGTTCGCTGTTGTCGTTCAGTTCTGTCTAATATGGATAGAAGTCTATCTAATAATCAGATAGAACTGTTAAACAAAGGAATTAAAATGTATACAAAAAAGTATTATAACGATTGCTTTAATATTATTAGTAATAGAAAGACAAACATTATAATACTTTCTCATTTGCCGTCAGCATTCAGCAAATACGCATTTATATAATTTAAACAAATCTTTGAATGACTAACGAACATTTAATTTCGCAAACCTTGCAGACTTAAGCCCCGTTCACACCAAGAACGATAACTATAAAGATAACTATAAAG